ATTATCCTTTTATGTATTGTGTGAGGTAACAGGTAAAGGATATGTACATCTGTTCAGTGTTCCTCCAAACCAATCAAATAAGTTAACCTCCCCTCACCCACACCAAGTAATTTGTTTAGATTGTGTCCCATTTTTCAAAGACTGTCCTGTATATTAATTTAGACCTGCGGGTAAAGAATTTAGCAATCTACCAGATATAATCAAATCTAAAATACACGAAGAATATTTATAATGAAATACAATTTTGTATACCCAAAACATTAACTGCTTAGTTTTATATTTAAATCTCACTTGACCTCTCTAGTTTAATTTTAAGTCCAAGAAAAAAACACATTGAATAAAATGTATTTTACAGGCATTTTTTTTATCAGGAATGTACTATGTATGTGAACATATCACTAAAGCAAGGTTATTTTATTAGATTAAATTAATCTCATCATCTTTATTTATGAAAAGTGACTGGCACTAGATCATAAACTAGGGAACTTAGATATAATTTCAAAAATAAAAAAATGTCTTATATTTCAGTTCCTTTTCCAAATGAATTTTATCACACAGGGGAGCATATGGTAACTGGACTTTTCCCCCAAAGTTTGAAGCAGATTCCAAGAGAAATATTCAGTTTACAGATACATGTGCTTAAAATTTGGGCTCAAGGCTCAAAAAACTTAGGTATTGTATAACTATTTTTAATAATATCTAGGATATATATTTCAGCCCAAAAACCAATATATATTGTTTATACAGAACAAATTCTGTTTAAGAATCATCTGTTTTAAACAGTCTTTTTTTTTAAAATATATAGCACTGACACTCAATCCATATTGATATGAAATATTTGAAATTTGAACTTTTCTATGTGCATAACTCCATAACCTACAACCTATAGGGACATGTCAAATACTACCAAGTACACATTTATATATAAAATGCAAGATATTATATATAATAAATGGGCATCACAGTATATATATATATTGCTGCACACTTAATTAGCATGTGACATGTCCCTGTAACCCATATCTAATTATAGGTAAGTAGTGGGATTATTATTGGAAGCCAACATCAACACATCCAACTAATGTAGTACTTTTAAACAAGAGCCCATGGGCTGAGTTGTAATGCAATTGATATTTGTTGTTGTGATATATATGACAAAAACAAAATATTACATATAGCAGGGAATGTCCCCCCCCCCTCGCAGGGAGGAATGGATACCCCAGGGGTTGTGAAATTCACATTTTGATTAAGTACATCAGGATATTTCCATCCATGAGGAGGTTTTCATCATATCTGAGTCTGAAGTAGACAAATATTGTTTTAGCTATTTTGATCCCTTTTGGCTCCTTAGCGTGCACATGATGACGACTCCAACCAAATATGAATTCATTACTACTGAAAATGGATAAATTATATATTGAAAAGTCTCATTTCCATAAACTATAGCAAAATGTATCCCCTCCCCTGGAGTAAATGGACGACAATTGATAAACAAACTTATACATCAGATATACACCTCATATACAGCAGGTATACACCTTCTATAAATCAGGTGTACACCTTCTATAAATCAAATATGCACCTTTTCTACTACAAATACATTAAGTATACACAACTTAAACATCCAGCTGGCATCAGCTCCTAGTCGGATATCAACTATACATCAGGTATACACCTTCTAAACATCAGGTATATACCTTATATACATCAGGTAAACACCTCCGGGTCACTCCCATATATCAGGTATCAGATATACTCCTTCCATACATCAGGTACATATACCTCACATACATCAGGTCTACACCTCCCAGACACCAGGTATACACCTCCTATGAATCAGGTATATACACCTCCCATACACCTACATTTCCCATACATCAGGTATATACACCTCCCATACATGAGGTATACACCTCCCAAACATCAGGTATATACCTCTTATACATCAGGTATACACCTCATATACATCAGGTATACACCTCCCATACATCAGGTATATACACCTCCCATACATTAGGTACATACACCTCTCATTAATCAGGTATATACACCTTCCATACATCAGGTATACACCTCCAGAACATCAGGTATACACATTCGTGATAACTACTTTCGAGTCCAGGATATGAAAACTCTTTTCAGTTCCGTGGAGTCGAAGGCATTATTTAACTTTTTGAAAGACATCGGTCTATTCTATAAACTCTGATGTCTTTAAACCCACCTTACCCTTTTTGACGTTATATATATACACAAAGAAAAAAGTTAAGCACCCCCACGTTTTTTTGAAATGACAAATGATACGATTAGTGTCCTGAGATAACGGAACAAATAATCGCAAAAATACAAATGCAGCCTGTTAGGACATTACATTAGCTTTAAGGAAGACACAAGAAATATCAACAGAAATAATAATTTAATGAATAGATTGTCAAAAAGTCACAAGCCCAGTTATTACACTAAAACATGTTCATTTTAAGTATTAACCTTCTTAGGTCATAATGCCTGATAAGATTGTCATTTCACTTACAAAACATCAATTTTAAGTCACTAAACGACATCCATGGTTCAAAGTTTAATATCGGATGAAACCACCACGTGCTGGGATGCCGGCCTTAACACTGCGTCTCATCCCTCCAGTCAGTCGTCGGATTTCCTGCTGTGGTAGCTGTCGACATTCCCGATGCAATGCTGCTTCCAACTGACGTAAGTTTTGTACAGAAGGTTCGACTGCCTGTACACGACGGCCTAACATGTCCCAAACATGCTCTATCGGATTCAAATCCGAGCTCATGGCTGGCCATGGTAGAGAAGTCACTGTTTCGCCTTGAAGGTAGGCGGTTACCGCCCTTGAACGATGCGGCCTGGCGTTGTCATCCATAAACACAGGTCTTGCAGCTAATGGATGGTTATCAAAATTGGGGACAACAACTGGCTGAAGAACTTCTCTGATGTATTGATCACCATTCAGGTTTCCTCCTATGGTCACCAAGGCCAACTTGCAATCATGAGAGATGCACCCCCATACCATTACAGAGCCTCCACCGTAGGGACAGTTGGTTTGATGGTCCTTGGGGTATATGCTGTATTTTTCTGTCTCCTAACTCTCATTCGTCCATCTGTTACATGCAGCAGAAACCGCCTCTCGTCCGACCAATGGATCTTGCTCCAGGTCCTCAAGTTCCAACCACGTCGCGCTAAACACCATGCCAAACGCAATCTTTGATGTCGATCAGTTAACATGGGACGTCTAATTAACCTCCTTGACTTCAGTCCTGCTGATTTCAACCAGTTCCGCACTGTTCTGGTTGATAGACGTCTATAAGGTAACCATTGTCTTTTTAGAACAGGACTAGTTGTAAATGACATTCGTCTAACTAGGCGTTCCAGTGCCCTATCCTCACGCTGCGATGTTACGGGTGGTCTACCTGATCTTAGCAAGTCTTTGACGGCGTTGGTTTGGATGTGTTATCTCATAAGCCGGCTGACTACAGTATAATGATAGCCCATCTGACGTCCAATAGCTTTAAAGGACATCCCTGTTGACCGCGTGCCGATAATTTGCCATCTTTGGGCCTCCGATATTCGTCTCCGTACCATGTTCACAGAGAATGAATATTTTTTTCAAAACGCCGGTCTTTGATACCCAAATTTGAAGCGTGGGCATACTGAATTTTGGAAACTGCATAGGAGGTATGGCTCACGTGCATAATACCTCAATATCTTAATTACCGGTCACACCTGTATGATCACACCTTTTTAATGGAACAATGGTCTTGTTAAAATCAATATTTGCATTTAAATTTAAATTGGTAACATACTATAATTCAATATATCAGGGGGTGCTTAACTTTTTTCTTTGTGCATATATCATACTCGATATCATCTATTCGTTATCTGTTTCATTATTTTAACCCCCTTTTTATTTTAACTATCTACACATACAATGCGAATGCCTTTAAAATGAACATTTTTTTCTCTGATTTTATCTTCGCTACTCACATATTCGCTGTAGGTAAGGTAACTCCTTTTTATAATAGTTGTCTGATTGGTTCATATTGATTGCATGCACAAGAAATATAACATCAAATTGTTTACCTGAAAATGTATTTTTTTTTTCATTCAAAGTTGTTGATTACCTCTTACCATACAAGAAATATCAGCTTGGGGATCTCAACAATTTCTATGTTATGATTGAAGGAGTAAGTCCTCAGGGGTGGGGTGGGCTCCATTAAGGACTATCTTGGTATCATGAGTGTTTTTCCTCTGCATGCCCAGCAGCATATGGATGGGATCTTTACTGGTTTCATGTAAAACTTGGGGACTATAAGCCCATTGTGACAGGGCAGGACCCCGGAGCCAATCATGTAAGCATGGATGTATTCAGATGGTTACATGGTGGGGGATCTTAATTATCTTTACACCCACTTCCTCTATTGGCACCCAAATTCTCTGGCCCAATGACTGCTTTGCCTCAGTTTTTCTCAGACCTGAGATATGCTACAATGCTGGCAGTCATTCAGAAGGAGTAGGTTTTTGAAGATGAAATGTCTTATTTTCCTCTTAACTGGAAAACAAACCTTGTATCTTCTGGAAATGAGTCAATACACTACATATAATAGAGATGATATATACAGGTACCTTATGCAATGAGGCTGTATTATAGAGGATACCCTTAGCCAATAAATAATGACTCTTTATGAGGTAAATCCAATAGTGCGAGTGTATTCTGCAGTATAATCAACAAATTTTAGCAATTAGATTATATATTTGAAAACTGTCTCGGGAGATATTTCATATACATAACTTACTTTAGAAACAGCATACAGAATATGTAAAGATAGTATTATGTGTACATAGTATATATTTTATATATAATACAACAAGGCAAAGTATTACAAGGCAATCCATAGTCCCCCAAAGGTAATTATTTCTATATTTAACAAACAGTACCAATTATATCCGAATGAACCTACTGTTAGGAAAGTATCCTGATACATACTTCTTGCATTCCTCTATCCCAAGACGTCCTTGTACACCAAAGCTGGTTACTCCAGGTGAAATAGTACAGAAGTACAGAGTGCAAATCTATAATCCCCCCGGGAACCAGTGGGGGACTAAAAAGGTAGTATATGGAATACATGAAAGTGGTAAACTTTTTATATACTCTGTATACAACTTTGTACACCACTTTTTCTTTACTATGTACAGCTATATAACACTCTCTGTATGCTCTGTATATCACTCATTTATACTCTGAATACCACACTCTGTATAATATGTATCACTCTCTATGCTCCGTATGCCATTTTCAATATACTATGTAGACCAATTCTTTTATACCCTGTTTACCGCTCTTTATATACTATGTTACAAGACCGATCCTTATATACCCTGTATAGCACTCTTTATATAACCTGTATATCACTCCTAATATAAGCTGTATACGACTCCCGATATACTGTGTATACCACTCTATATACTGTGTATACAGCTCCTTATATTCTGTGTATACCACTCTATATGATGTGTATACCACTCTATATGCTGTGTTTACCACTCCCTACATCTCTGTATATCACTCTTAATATACTGTGTATACCACCTTTTATATATTGTGTATACATCTCCTTATATACTGTGTGTACCACTCAATATTTACATGTATACAACGCCTTACATTCTGTGTAAACCACTCTATATGCTGTGTTTACCACTTCTTACATACTCTGTATACCTGTACCACTATTCTCATATACTGTATACCACTCTCTGTGTACTATATAGACACATTCTAATAAACTCTGCATACCACTCTTTGTATACCTTGCATATCACTCTTTATATACTCTGTATTCCACCCTGTGTACTCTGTAGACCACTTATAATGTACCCTGTATACCACTCTCTATATACTCTGTATATCACTCTCTGTATGCTATGCATATCCCCCTTTATATACTCTGTAAACCACTTCTTATATACCCTGTTTACTAGTTTTATAATCTGTATACAAATCATTATATAACCTTCTCAATATTTCTTTGTAAAGACATTTTGGTTATATTTTATATAATAAACAAGAGGCACTGGGCTAGGATGAGTTTCTTGTGAAAATCATAACAAAAGTGTATCCAAATTTTGATGCTCAGCAATATATTTACTACTTTAAACAGGTATTACACATGTAATTACTACTACAGACAGGTATTGCACATGTATATACTATCACTGATAGGTATTACACATATAAAGACTCCTACAGATAGGTATAACACATGTAATTACTATTTGTTATTTCAAAGACTTTAAGAACATGCACCTGATGATGAAATATTATTTCTTGTCTGTGATAGAAGTAAATACAAGTTCATAACCAGTTTGAAACAATGAATTAATGTTCCTTACATGACAATATATTGATAGAACATAGAACAAATACATAAGTATGTTCCTTAATGTCTGTGAAAGTTAAAACAATTTTATCTGAAGCAATATAATTAAAGATCCATAGCCTGTCTGATAATAAATACAGGTGTATGACCAGTCTGCAACAATAAATGAAAAAACATGTTTCTCATATGTCTGTGATAACCAGCATGAAACAATTAATAAATGTTCCTAATATGGTTGTTATAGTTAATACAAGTTTATAATCAGTCTGAAACAATTAATAAATGTCCATAACCTGTCTGTGAATTTTTACGGGTAATAATACAGTTTTATCAAATTACTTTTAAAACACATTTAGAGAAAATCCGTGAGGAAAATCAAGATAAAACATTTTAATGACTAAATTGTAAGTTATACATGCAGGAGGATCGTTTTCCTTCAGTTATGAAATACATAAGAACCGCCCTTTCTCTACCACTAACCCAATCTACCTTCTAATGCTTAACCTTTTAAAATAATGTAAATACCGCTATAACCAGACGTATATTTGGTGGCATTAAACTTCTACTTTCACTTTCTCATACTTCATTTCCGGGTAAGAAATAAGACACTGAGGCTACCGATTAGGTGCTTTACCGTGCACTGCTGCCGTTTGCCGCATTTTATATATATATAGCATCTCTAGATTCAACACAACTCCCGTATTGTACTAGTCAAAGCTCTCGTCCAATAAACATTAAGACCATGCAAGTTTCGTCACATAAAGCTATAAATAGCACATTGCTAACCCAACTGTAGTATAGCCATTCCAGTCATAGTCCATGAAGAGATATGTAAATGCATGTACTTCCGAAACCAATATCATCACTTTAGAATACAATATGGCCTTCTTGGGCCCTGTAATACAGTCGTTCCATTGATGGATATATTGAAAGTGAAACCAGTCGAGGAGCCAGTTCTTAGAAATAGAAGTCCCGAGCATCAGAGGGTCCTTAGAATTCCCAGGTCCAGTTTCTTGTTTAACCATTGTTGTTACGTTTGATATTAGGTCACAGTGGTAAAATATTTACTATAAATGTAAGGGTGAGGATTATCTCCGGCCTTTGTTCTGGTACATACCACAATAAACTTTATAGTGAATTTGTGAACAATCTCAAAAACAATCCACATCCTCAATAGTAATCTTAATTTTTATTTACATAACAATCACTTATAACACAGTGCAGCCTGTACTTGTTCTCTCATTTATGAAACTGTAGCTCATTTTGTTCTTAGATTGTCCATTCTGTAATGAACATATTGTAATAGGACGTCCGTGGGAAGAGCCTGGCCAGTGTCGGTAGATAAACGTGATCGTATAGTAATTTAGGTTTTCCTTAAAACTACCGACAAATTGATCGGCGGCAATCCCCACGAACCTCCTACTGCGTCCGTCTGTACAGTCAGACACAGGTCCGAGAGATGTGAAAGAGCATAAGAGTCATAAACCAATCAACACTTTGTATAACGTTCACTGATATTTATTTATTAATAGTACACGACTGTGTTAGCCGTTTAATATGATTAAAGTACAGTTATAACAACAATATACAGTATAAGAACAAAATAGATAAAGTACGATAAAAGAAAGGATGTATTTAGTAAACCTATAGAGCCCCCACGTGGTAAACTCGGCCTATACATATAAACAAAGATATACAAAGTCTACCTCACCCAATACACTGCCCTATTGTATGCCTACCCTAACATTCCCTAGCGGGGCTGTACTGTTACAGTACACGTGCAGCACTGATACATTGCTCGGGGGCAGAAAAGATGCTTCTCCCAAACTGCCGGCAACCGGCCACGCAAGTCCCTAACGTTCCCTAACGGGGCTGTACTGTTATACAGTAGAAGTGAAGCACTGAAACAGTGCTGGGGGGGGGGGGGGGGGGGGGAGAGATACTTCTCCCGATCAGCCGGCAACCCACGCAAGTCAATGTATTTTGCTCGTGCATCTCTTTTTATACCCCAGCCTCCTGGCCCTATGTAACCTGTATCGCACACCCATTCTTTTCTAGCTAGATGAACTCTACGCTGTGGTATTTTGATTGGGACAGCATCACGAGTATTTATAGTGTGTTCAGCTAAATCAGTTCTCCCTACAGAGCCATATTCTCCTACAAAAACATCTTGAAATTATGTTACTAAACTTATAAGTTTATCTTTTTCATAAGCTGTCAGATCTTAAGAACTATTTTCTATGAGAGGTTCTAAATGCTTCGGTAGTTTTCCCCTGGAGGTACCTATGAACTCAGTACCTCCAGTGCTAACATCCTGTTTTATCCTCCCAACACTCCCAATAGTTACATTTGAGTCTAGACTAACACTACACTCAGTGATATTCATGGCTGAGATAATCAGATTGTCATTGCAAGGATCTACTATACTTCCAGCTATCAATATGCCTTGTTCCTTCCACTTAGGATTAGGTTCTACTAAAACAGTACTATCTGATAATTGACTTTTAGATTTACATTCTATCAATTGCTCAGATTGAGGGGGTAACACCATAGTGGCACAGGGTCTAATTAAGGCACAATTTAGGGTTTTCTGTTTACTTAACTGAACATTACCCTGACTAGTATATCTTCTCATAATTGACATGTACATGTTTACTTCCTTAGGAAATCCATGCCTAATATTCCTGCTACAGTACTGAGATTAGCCACTACAATATCTTGTTTAAAACGCAGCGATGTTTCATTTAGACTTAAGTTTATAAATTAAGAATAAAAAAGAACTGACACAGGTGAACCAGTGTCTATCAACATCCTCCAACTTGTATTACACACCTGTATATCAGAGTACAGAAACCCTTGTCTACATGTACACTGTGTATACTTAACTTGATTTGATTCGACACCCCCGCTTCCCCGTCTCTTCCCTCCTGAGATACTATTTCTTTGTCTAACGAATTTTCTGTTGGCCTACATTTAGAAGTAGCTGAGTTCTTGGCCTCGAGCTCAGCCTCAATTAGTGATCCGCTTTGCTAACTTTCTCTTCCCTCTCCCTTAAAGTGCTAAATTTGGAATATTCCCACATGTAATGACCCTCTTCGTTACAGGAGAAACAAGTCCCCTTTTTGCCTGAGGTAGTTTCCTCTTTATCTTTCTTTTCTGACTTGGTATTATTCTTGGTCAACTTCTTGTCTAGTAGTTTACTAATCTGTTCAATTGTCAGTGTCTGTCCCCCTGTACTATCAGATTGTATTGCACAGACTGATTCTGAACTATTTGTAGGTTTCTGTGGACTACTACCTGCCACAGCCTCATATTCTACTGCTGAGGAAATAGCCTCCTCTAATATTTTGGGGTGACAAAGGTTACTTTCTTTTTCATCTCAAAGTTATTTAGACCGTTTATGAATTGATCTATTACTTGACACTCTAGGTAATGATAGGGTTAATCTGGGTAGGCTAGTAATGCTGTTCTACGTAAAGAATACCCAAAGTCAGAAGCCGACTCGCCCTTACCTTGCTTCTGTCCCCTAAATGTACATCCATGTGCTACACTCCTTTCCTTTGGATTGAATCTCTGAGTGAGACATTGTCTAATGGAGTTATAGTCAGATAACTGCCCTTCCGTTAAATTGCTTAATAGCTTTTGGGCTGTGCCCCTTAAACTCATACTAAGTTGTTGAGCATTTTCGGTGTCGGTCCAAGCATTCTACACAGCTACCTGTTCAAAGTGAACAAGATAGTCTTGCCAGCCACTGCTTGTACCGTTAAATGTATGTGGGTGTTTTTCTTTCCTATGCACCCTCAATCCTGACAAATCTTGGTTAGATTCAATCACTGATAGAACGTTTCTGCTCTGAGGAGTGTTAGTTATCTGTCCATCTAACTTCATGTGGCTTTCATTAATAGTGTGTGGGATGGTGTGTGAGGCAGGTGCTGCATCTAACCTGCCTCCTATTTTTATGTCTAACCAACTCTGGTTTATTATCCTTCGTGTCCCCCTCGTACTGTTCTGACTTTTCCCTCTCAGTACTATAATCTTTCTTCCTGAGAAAAGGACTAAACACTTTCTGTTTAATCTTGAGTTTAACATCCTCCCCCTTTGTCTTAACTCTCATAGTTTTAGGGGTAGAATGTACAGCAGACTGTTTTACTCTTCTTCTTACTAACACCCTTTTTATCTCATCCTCTGTATTCTCACTTTCCTCCGTTTCTGAGCTGAGTGAAGATTATACAGTAACGACCTCTCTGCTAGCCCCATCCCCATAAGATAATATTCTGACTAAGAACAAATGGCTTTAACTAAGGTTTTGAAGCCCATTTTGGTGTTGATTCTAACCTATCCTGAGATGTTTGAACTTCCTTGTCTACCAACTCCTCCATCCAATCAGATCTGGAAATGTCCGACTCACTAACGTGTTGATCAGTATACATGTTTACAAAAAGGTGTCTATATACCTCTGACTAATTATTAAATCACATTTGTAAAACCCTTTTAGTCGTATAACAAACTACACCTCTATTTCAACAACAATTACTCATCAATAAAAGATTCTCGTCTTACGTTAGTTACAAATCTGATGAGTTACATGCAATTCAAAATAATCTGTTTTTACTCCCGCTAAAAAACGAATAAACCTGGACGTCCCGCAACTCTGGTTTATACAGAACTTAAACTTGCTATATATAGTAGACCTATTTGTCAACTGTTGATCTATTTCATGAAATGCTACGTACATGTACACTGCAAACACTACCAGTTCAAAAGGAATGACTTTAGAATCATACATCAATACTGATACGTGTAACTGAACATCTATAGTTACAGGACTTGCTAAATACTAACAATAAAGGTATTCCGCAATTACACGTACAATATAAATTCATTTAACAAATTTCTAAACTATTTAAATGTATAAACAAAGGTAAAATTGGAGAATACTTACGTTTTCACATCCACGGTCAACGGCACCAAATCTGTTATAGGACGTCCGTGGGATGAGCATGGCCAGTGTCGGTAGATAAACGTGATCGTATAGTAATTTAGGTTTTCCCCAAAACTACCGGCAGCAATCCCCAAGAACGTCCCGCTGCGTCCGTCTGTACAGTCAGACACAGGTCCGAGAGATCTGAAGGAGCATCAGAGTCATAAACCAAACAACACTTTTCATAACGTTCACTGATATTTATTTAATAGTACACGACTGTGTTAGCCGTTTAATAGAATTAAATTACAGTTATAACAACAGGATACAGTATAAGAACAAAGTAGATATAAAGTACGATACAAGAGAGGTTGTATTCAGTAAACCTATAGAGCCCCCACGTGGTAAATTAGGCCTATATATATAACCAAAGATATACGAAGTTTACCCCACCCAATACACTGCCCTGTATATTGCCTACCCTAACGTTCCCTAACGGGGCTGTACTGTTACAGTACACGTGCAGCAGTCTCTCGATCAGCCGGCAACCGACCACGCAAGTCAATATATTTTACCCGTGCATTTCTTTTTATACCCCAGCCTCCTGGCCCTATGTAACCTGTATCGAACACCCATTCTGATTGGCCAATCTACGGCATACTCACCAAATTCCGGTCCTCTCGAAAGCTTACACCAATGTTAACAAACAGACTAGTCTGCACCGGCGATAGCTGCTACTCTACGGGAAGCATACGCCGAACGAATAGCCCTACCGTACCCGTTAGGTTACTTGTAGGATGGTATTAAAAGGATTTACACTAAGAGAACAGTAATAGGCTAATGACCCATTTTTCCACAATATACTTAATATTCTTGCTTCTTTAAATATTTATGGAAATCACAATCATATCAATTTACATCTTTTGTAAATGTAAACAGGGTAGTTTTAAATGATGTTCAGTATTTTAATTGAAAAACTAGACGCTTTAAACTACATTTGCGATAGAATTTGTAACACAAAGACCACGTTGTCTGTATCATTTCTTGGGTTCTTAACCTTGTTATTTCACTATCATTGACCTAATTGATCAACAGTTTTGCTGAATGGGGGCTGAGTTTGTATTTGAGCTAGTATGGTGCGTGTCTTGTACAACCTTTTCAATATTGTTCTTATGTAAATGTATTTATAACATTAAGGTTCTGTAGTCCAAAGTATCAATGACCTGTGCACTATATTTGCCAACTGACTGAACAAAGTGCTTATTTACATGCGCTAGTTATCTCCATTGCTTGTTCTGTTGCTTTGTAGATATTTTTCATTTCATAGTAACTTTTTAATTAGTTTGTTTTATTATCAAGGTACGTTTTAACATTTTGGCTACCCATGCGGAGAATTTATATAGGCTTGTATGTCATTTAACCCATTTGGCTGTACAATCTGTGTCAATGAAATTTGTTGAAATGAAATGAAGGTACGGATTTTTGTTTGATTGCTATGTCCAGGTAGCTGTCTACAGTAGAAATGGCCCGACTCTGAAAAACAAGGCACATGTCGGGGAAATGTAAACACAGCGGATTTACCCTACAAAACACATATATACATGTATATGTATTTGTAACTGCATTACATTTACAATACATATAAAGTACTGAGAAGTGTATAAACCTCTTTTTTCTTTGTATGTCACTTGTGTGAAAACCATGGTTACCACATCAAAAATTACCAAAAAATGCCAAAAAATGCTATTTTTGACCTAAAATTTGACCCCCGCAACTAGTAAAAATTTTCCTACGTTCTGTCTGAAATTAAAGATTACCTACTTGGTTGCAGAATAATCTGGGTCCCAGTAAAGTTGTAAAACTTGAATTTTTGCAATTTTGCCTCGTGTGCTGTTGTCAAAATTTTACCTTCTGTAAAGCTAGCTTTTCATGTGTAGGCCCCCTTTCGGATTATGGCCAAAATTTTGATCTCCAACAAAAAACTTTTTTTTTTTTTTTCACAAATGTGAAGCTCACATAGCCCGCTTCATCATGCTTATACCAATTTTAGTACAGTTTTATTTTTAAGCCGCTCTTGGCGAGAGCCGAGCGGCTTATTAATTCTGTCCAGAGAACGAAATGACGGACCCACTTCCGTTCGGGGTGCGTGCGCATAATTCAGTATTGCATGCTTCCGCTATATAGTTTCGTTATCGTAAATAGAAAGTAGAATTTTTGACACTCACCTGTAGGTTACATAAAGTCTTCTGATACTCTTCTCCAAATAATAATCCATACTTTAAATAATTGCTGAAAACAAAATGTTTATCTCCGGTGCATTCTACGAGTGTTGTGGTGGTGAAATTTCGTGCACTAGGTTTGAGCACAGGGTGACGTTACAAATGTCTGAAATACACATATGCTATACTGATACGGGTCACAACACACATAAACATACACTGTGTATGTTTATATGTGTTGTGACCCGTATCAGTATAGCATATGTGTATTTCAGACATTTGTAACGTGACCCTGTGGTTTGAGCGTTTTAGCAACTCGGATTGCGGTCTGGGTAGTGTTACGCGTGTGAAACACATAGGATTCGAGAAAGCACATGTGAAGACTGTCAAGCATTGACGCTGTCTGTAGAAGGAAGAAGTAAATATATAAACTTATAAACCGTATGAGTGATGAAGTATAAACTCTATTTTGATGTTTGAAACGGTAACGTATATATGCCATATCGTGCTTAGGTTGATAACGGTAGACTAATGGCTCCGAGACGAGACGATATGTGAACTGTGTATGCTTATCAAACATTTTTGTAANTCAAATATATTCCAAGAACATTTGTGAGATTTTGTATATTCAATGACGGTAAATATAGTCGCTACAAATATTAATAATTTTCACTAATATGAATAAAAAATAAATAAAAATAAAAGGAGTACAATGTCTCTTTTCTCCATGCATGTTTTCCCACTACTGTTAATAAAATGCACCTATTCTTTATTATCCATTCACCGATTGCCATTCTGCACGTAAACGCTCATGTCACATCATTGGAGGATGCTAATTAATGAAAATTACAACGATGCGTCACACTTAAAGAGGGTGAAAAAAGAGGAGAGGGAGAAATGTTTTTAAGGCATCATTTAATAGGTGATTGATTTTGAAAATCCTAAACGCAACATCATCAGATGACCTGATTTTCAATTATACAGGGGTTAGCCATTTAACAAAAAATATCACCCATGGCCACAACCCTCTACTGTAAACTGCTACCCCAGGTACCATTTATTACATTTATCAGATTTTCATACATCTGTATACTATATTTTATTTACAGTTAGTCATGCCTGTCACAAATATACAGAGATATGACTGGATTAACTATGAGAAGGAGCGGTACCCAGTCATCTGGTCAGCCTACAACGGAGACCTCGATGGACTTAGACAACATCTGAAACAGGTAAAGGACGTTACAGAGGTAAAGGACACCACATCTGATACGTCAATCCTGGGTTGGGCAGTGGTCGGAGACCAAGTGACCATCATCAAATATCTGATTAACCGATACCCACAGCTGTTAACGTTAACCAACAAGTATGGTGCCAGTCCACTCTTCTTGTGCTCTGTATCAGGCAACGTGGACATGTTCAAACTGTTTGTAAAGGAAGGGTTGTCTCCATACAGGAGAATTGTTCACCTAGACACTGTCCTCATGTTAACAGCAGCCAGAGGACACCTTAACCTCACACGCTATATCGTTGAAACATACCCTGATATGGTGAGGAAAATATCAAATACTAATATGGACGTATTTCTGTATTCTTGCTACTCTGGAAGTGTTGACATATTTGACTACATGTTACAACAAAAGCTTGACCCCACAGTGCTGGACATTGACGACATCAACTGTCTCATGATTGCGGCATGGTGTGGTCACGAAATACTTCTGAGGTACATTCTGGAAAACGCAAGGCGATTTAACATCAACATCCACGCAACTGACGTCGACGGTCACTCTCCAGTTTTTTATTCTATGATGGGAAATCATCCAGATATTACTGACATACTGAAGAGATATGGCATGAAGCCACCGAATGCTTTTAGAATTCTGATATCTGTACCTAAGCGTCTGTTCCGTAAATGGCGAAGAGAGTCGGGAAAAGAAGGTATATTGATAAGGAGATTAAAAAAAGGGTTTTGTAGAGGAATTACACTGATACAAATAACGTCATATGTTCCTTTATGTTTTTGATTACGTTGTCAATTTATTTTTAAGCGACAGGCTGTTATTATAATTTAGATAATATACTATAAACGTAAACACAACGTTATATCCAGAAAATAAGGAGACACTTGCACTCACAGTATTAAAACCTTTCCTCGTAAACAAGTACTACTAATAGTATATCCAATTTTAGTGGGACCACAGAAGGTGTTCGATGATTATCTAAGGCTTTTCTCCGGACCTAAAGAAAAGTACAGACACATCCGAGTAGTGTTTGTTGGACCAGAGAATGTAGGTAAAACCACGCTCTGTCTTCGACTCCAGGGCAGACATGTAGACATCAGACTTCGGCGCCCCACCCTGGGGGCCGAGCTCTTCCTACAGCTGTATGAGATAGGCTGGGACAGCAAGAGATGGACACACCTTGATACGGACAGACCGGAAGTAGTTATCCACAAACGATTAGGAGAAATACTCAGAAATACATCTGTAGTCGAGGACAACACCGGAAACAACGATGCAGGTAAGCCAATACGAGAGGTTTCCTTCATTCAATTTTAATATTGACTATGTAAAGATTTTGGACAGACCGCGTGTTTGTACAGGTTCATTGTAGACTTATTTTGGCATAGCTGGTGAATATACAGTATTGCCAGTAGCGGTATGTTTTTTACTCACTACTATGTCTGTGTATAGAGAGCAAACTAAGCATGACTGTATATATGTATGTTTATGCAAAAGTAAATGCACGGACAAATCCTTGTATGTGAATATGTAGATGTTAATATGTATATATTTCAAGCCATATATTGAATATGAGCGATATTAATCAAATAAATGAGAATGAAGAATTCGTTAAAAGAGAAGAAATAAAATAAAGTGAACCAAGTGAAGAGAAGGAGGCCTCCTGTGCGATATTTCACGTTTTAAGTTAGGTGAATCTAGAGCTCTCAAACCATAGCATTCCGCAATAAGATGCTCTGAGGGGAATAAAAATAAAGAAACAAAATAATGAAAGTTACATTGAGTATTACAATATTGGATAATATTGCGATATTTCTGCCGTATACAATCAAAGATTGACAAAAGCAAGACAACACCAACTGTAAACAAAGCCGTTATTCAAACTTAAACCGATTAAACCAGGGCAAATATGAACAATGGAAAGATTTACATGGAGACCATGAAAAAAGTATAAGGAGAACAACTTCAAGATTTCCGGAAAGTTAACCTTTGTTATATCTTATGCTGATGTCATCAGGGTGGTCGAGTGGCGCAGTGGATAGCGCACTCACCTTTCACTAAAACGGCCCCGATTAGACATGAAAAGGTATGGGGACACCTGCACGACCACATGGCTTTTCTCCTGGTACTCCGATTTCCTCCCAGATTAAGTACCCCATATGCGCTACCATCCGGGCCAACAGGAATGTGTAACCAACGTGTGCCCACAGTTCATTACTAAGTCTATTTTAGATCCAGTAACTGTTATAACAAATAATGCCAACAATATACATCAAACTATTTACTGTCTCTCTGACTCCGATAACTATTACATCAAATAAGTACTTCCTTAACTACACACCTTCTTACATTTATTACACTAACACGTATATAGTAAAAACAACCCAGCTTAAACACTGTATTACACTAACACTTATATAGTAAAAAAACACTCTTTAGCACTGAATCACAATATATCCGTCGCACTGTGACTACCTTTTGACCAGTCACCCTGGACACTGTGAAACCTATGCCTAAGGTAAACCCTTAAGTCTTGATAAAACCTGTGTCTGGGTACCTGCCACTCTGTATCTATTAACAGTACATCACCCTGTACTGTGATACCCTGTGACTGTGTATACTACCCAGTGATACAAGTTATTTTGACACTATAAAGGAGTACGGTTAAAACAGAGTACGAGAGAGTTTTTTGCCTTAAATAAAGTTCAATTTTTAATTATTATCATGATAAGCTTTTTAATAAACAGTAATGTTATATATTTATTTGAAAACAATCAAACGAAATCAACAAAGACACTATCAACCAGTAACACAATAATTTCAATCACGATGGTGTTTTTTTCATTTATATGATTGGAGAACCATTTTATGCGAACAACTACAGTATACGCTTTTCTCACTATATTTATTCAGGTGTTTCTAATAATTCACTAGTTTTGTACAATAATTAGCCTTCGGTTACTAGCTTACCGAGGGGATATGTAAATACAACAGTAATTTTATATAAGTGATTACTGGATTTTGTTGATGTGTTTTAGGTTGTGGTATTGTTTTAGAGTGACTGTTTACTTTGTTATATGTTGTGATATGTAAGTGTTCATGTTTCTGTTTTTAAAAGGAGTGGTTTGCGTTGAAAGTTTGGCAAATTCCTTTGCCTGCACTCTTTATTGATTTTTCACCAATTTTTATATAAACACATCCGGAGATAAATGTCTAGCTACCTAATTTATAATGCTGATTTGTATGCCTTTTTATATATTATATTTTTAACTGTCACTGTAGGAATACTATCAAGCATGTGTTGTAAAGCACCTGAGATGAATTAACAAAAATATATAGGCTGATAACGGATTGGTTGTGCTACATGTACAGCCGATGGTAAACTGTTGTTAGGATTGGAAGACAGGTCCGCATTCGGATCAATATTTATAGTTCCTATCATTGTTGTGAGAAAGGAGTTGATAGTTGTTCAAATTACATTGTATCTTCACAATGATAGCTGCATCAATATTTTTTATAAACAATTAAAATTTTCTTACAGAAACCCAAGCACTACCTTCCACTGCTGATACGGGCCCCATTACAGCTGAGTCTAAACACGGTAACCTTTGTTTTAACGAGACATGACGTTATTCCGTTGATGCAACTTCCTTTATATTCTTAAACTTGCTTTATGTTTGATCATGCGATATGAGGTCACCATAGATAGGTACGTCACACTAATCATCACGTCTTATCTAGATTTGTCTCTCGCTGAGAGGTTTAAACATGCAATTTGTACAGAAAGAAGTTTATTTTGATATATTAGTAATGTGATAAATCGGATGGTTGTTCTGTTGGCGCAGTGGTTAGTGCACTCGCCTTTCACCAAGACCTATGGGGCTGGATTTTCCGATCGGGTACTCCTGTTTCCTCCCACATTAAAACTTTCCATGCACATCCATCTGGGCCAATACGATTGATTAATATAAGTTGATGTAAATTCTTTCGCATTATTTTGAAATTAATAAAGTCTAATAATTTGATAACAACTCATAAACCATATACCTTACATGTACACGTGTGAATTGATTATGATTTATAATGAAAGTTCTTGCGTATATTATAAATATTCCTCTTCCTAAAGCATTATTCTTTAAAGTATATACTCAGTAAGAGTAAAGTGTAATTGCACAGAAATAATAAAGTAGGGTATTTATATCAAAAGTACATATTTCTGACGAGTAAAAAATAAATATAGTGTTCATTATTTTAACATAATCAATTTTAGAAATTAAAGAGCTGCCCTCCACCGCTGATACAAGCTCCATCACATATAGATCGGAAAAAGGTGAGCTATTTTGAGCTATTATTTGGTATTCCTATCGATCGACTGTGTAAATATCTTAAATATTGCGTTGAGATGATTCTCGTAGGATATATATTGAATAATAGACAAAAAAGGTGATAATTACTAATAGATATGGTGGTCATAAACGTTTGCTATTTTGTCTTTCGATCACAATTAGTTTATTTGTTTCTTTATACGTGATAATATATCAGACAGTTTTCTATGTGTCCACTAAGACCTGACCAAAGCGGTATTCTTCACGTTCCATATTCAACCGCGGTATCCCTGCTGTTAATATTTAAATTATGGAATATTTGATTTTTTTTGTCGTATTTCAATTCAGAGAAACAACCAAAACCTGCTCCATTTGTTCCAAGACGAACGGGTTTAATGATAGTAGTGATAGCTATTATAGCCGTTTTGATGTCCATGTTTAATGTTACAAGTAAGTACGTGAACGTATTCCATGTAAATTTGTTACATATCTATGTTTACACTTCATACAACAATAAATCGTAACATATTTTTGTTTACAATTCATACAATACATCATACAATACAACAGTAATATGTCACATATCTTTGTTTACACTTCATACAATACAACAGTCATTAATTGCATATCTTTGTTAACACTTAAAAATACAATTCAGCAGTAATATGTTACATATCTTCGTTTACTCTTCATACAATAAAATATGCAATACAACAGCAATATGTTACATTTCTTTATTCCACTTTTGTCCAATGCATCATACAAAACAAGAGTTACATACAATACAACAGGAATTTATTGCATATCTTTGTTTACACTTCATACAATATAACATACAACACGACAGTTATTTGTAGCATATCTTTGTATATTCTCATAACATTAAATCATAACATATATATATATATATAATATAATTTCTTCAATTTCAAAAGTAATACGTAACATAGCCGTGTTTATACATATAACATTACGTCTTATTTAGACTTCATTGTCGGCGTTTTGATGTAAATTACAAAATAGTTTACACTAGGATTGAGTGATAACATGATAGGTGAGGATAGATATTTAAACATAGCCCTGCTGATATATCTCATATACACTCATTTGTAGCCGGTTCAAGTGTCTTACCTACAATCAGCACATTGTGGTTGTCATTGGTGCAGATTTTCAACAGGCTACAAGAATGCATTTGGCAGCATCAAGTTGTGAATGATAGTGGTAAGTTAAAGCCACTTACAATTTCGTTGGTGTTAAAATAAATGAATAACATATGTTCTTGAACTGTGCGCACTTGCTGATAGTTATAAAAACTCTCCTTGATCCACATTCTTTAATCCGTGCCTTGTCAGTCACCAAAAGAGAAAGCTAAAAATATAAATTATCAAATACAAATAAACAACTGAGGGACTTTAAAACAAAAAAGGACATATATAAGCTTTGAGAGGGTAATCATTTCCTACTCCACATGTGGCATCCGCTATGATGTTTCCTGTCAAATCTAGGAAAGTATTCAGATTGACAAGTCACTGCGACAACATCATCTTCAGTAACTTCAAATATTGAAAGTCCATTGGTAAGTAGTGTCTTTGTCAACGTAAATCATCTGTCAAGAAAATCATGAGATTTTGAGCAGTTGGTAATAGATATCATATGCTGACGGACATACTTAACACAGTGCTTTAAAAGATGAAGGTTGATGAAGATTGTTGCAAGTTTTATGGTCTCCATAGAGGAAACATTGGTGTTATTATCTTGTAAACACCATAGAGGAAACAGTGGTGTTATTATCATGTAAACACAATAGACGAAACAGTGGTGTTATTATCATGTAAACACCATAGAGGAAACAGTGGTGTTATTATCAAATAAACACCATAGAGGAAACAGTGGTGTTATTATCATGTAAACACCATAGAGGAAACAGTGGTGTTATTATCATGTAAACACCATAAAGAAAACAGTGGTGTTATTATCATGTAAACACCATAGAGGAAACAGTGCATGTAAACACCATAAAGAAAACAGTGGTGTTATTATCATATAAACACCATATAGGAAACAGTAGTGTTATTATCATGTAAACACAATAGACGAAACAGTGGTGTTATTATCAAATAAACACCATAGAGGAAACAGTGATGTTATTATCATGTAAACACCATAGAGGAAACAGTTGTGTTATTATCATGTAAACACCATAAAGAAAACAGTGGTGTTATTATCATGTAAACGCCATAGAGGAAACAGTGGTGTTATTTTCATGTAAACACCATAGAGGAAACACTAGTGTTATTGTCATGTAAACACCATAGAGGAAACAATGGTGTTATTTTCATGTAAACACCATAGAGGAAACAGTGGAATTATTATCAGGTCAACACCATAGAGGAAACAGTAGTGTTATTGTCATGTAAACACCAGAGAGGAAACAGTGGTGTTATT